TGATGAGACAGATGACGAGCCTGAAGTGCATTGCACATCAAATCGTGATGATATACGAGGCATTTGCCTGATTAAGCTTGGCGAATTGAATGCACCATCGAAGTGCTTGCTTCCTCCGTTGATGCGGCCAGTGCTTAATGATGAGACAGATGACGAGCCTGAAGTGCATTGCACACCAAATCGTGATGATATACGAGGCATTTGTTTGATTAGGCTCGGCGAATTGAATGCACCATCGAAGTGCTTTGTTATTGTGGTAGGAGGTGCGTACCTCTTTTCGACTGATCATTGTTGACTGCCGAAGCTGACCAGGGACCATTTCCGCGACATATTGTGGGACGATGGGCGAGGTGACCAAGGGGCATGATTTGTGAATCTGCAAGCTTTGCTGCTTGTGGCAGTTGTAGGGCGGCATAGACGGGCCCGGCATGAGGTGGAGTGATGCCGCCACAAAGACCGGCGGACGTGCACTGTACGACTGGCGAGGCATGAATCTGCTTACCAAAGCTGACCAAGGGACATGATTTGTGAATCTGACGTTGCTGCTTGTGGCAGTTGTAGGGCGGCATAGACGGGCCCGGCATGAGGTGGAGTGATGCAGCAACAAAGACCATCGGACGTGCACTGTACGACTGGCGAGGCGTGAATCTGCTTACCAAAGCTGACCAAGGTGCATGCTTTGTGAATCTGCAAACTTTGCTGCTTGTGGCGGTTGTAGGGCGGCATAGACGGGCCCGGCATGAGGTGGAGTGATGCAGCCACAAAGACCGTCGGACGTGCACTGTACGACTGGCGAGGCGTGAATCTGCTTACCAAAGCCAACCAAGGGGCATTTGTGAATCTGTGGGGCGTTGCTGCTTGTGGCAGTTGTAGCACGGTAAAGGGGTGAGGATGGTGAGGTAAAGTGGAGTGATGCAGACACAAAGACCGTCGGACGTACATGGTGCGCTTGGCGAAGCATGAATCTGCTTACCAAAGCTGACCAAGCAGCATTTGTGAGTCTGTGGGGCGTTGCTGCTTGTGGCAGTTGTAGCACGGTACAGGGGTGAGGATGGTGCTGCTTGTGGCAGTTGTAGCGCGTCAAAGGAGGGTGAGGTAAAGTGGAGTGATGCAGACACAAAGACCATCGGACGTACATGGTGCGCTTGGCGAAGCATGAATCTGCTTACCAAAGCTGACCAAGGGACATTTGTGAATCTGTGGGGCGTTGCTGCTCGTGGCAGTTGTAGCACGGTAAAGGGGTGAGGATGGTGAGGTAAAGTGGAGTGATGCAGACACAAAGACCATCGGACGTACATGGTGTGCTTGGCGAGGCATGAATCTGCTTACCAAAGCTGGCCAAGGGGCATTTGTGAATCTGTGGGGTGTTGCTGCTTGTGGCAGTTGTAGCACGGTAAAGGGGTGAGGATGGTGAGGTAAAGTGGAGTGATGCAGACACAAAGACCATCGGACGTACGTTGTGCGCTTGTCGAGGCATGAATCTGCTTACCAAAGCTGACCAAGGGGCATTTGTGAATTTGTGGGTCGTTGCTGCTTGTGGCAGTTGTAGCACGGTAAAGGGGTGAGGATGGTGAGGTACAGTGGAGTGATGCAGACACAAAGACCATCGGACGTACGTTGTGCGCTTGTCGAGGGATGAATCTGCTTACCAAAGCTGACCAAGGGGCATTTGTGAATCTGTGGGGCGTTGCTGCTTGTGGCAGTTGTAGGAGGGTGAGGTAAAGTGGAGTGATGCAGACACAAAGACCATCGGACGTACGGTGTGCGCTTGTCGAGGCATGAATCTGCTTACCAAAGCTGACCAAGGGGCATTTGTGAATCTGTGGGGCGTTGCTGCTTGTGGCAGTTGTAGCACGGTAAAGGGGTGAGGATGGTGAGGTAAAGTGGAGTGATGCAGACACAAAGACCATCGGACGTACATGGTGAGCTTGGCGAGGCATGAATCTGCTTACCAAAGCTGACCAAGGGGCATTTGTGAATTTGTGGGGCGTTGCTGCTTGTGGCAGTTGTAGGAGGGTGAGGTAAAGTGGAGTGATGCAGACACAAAGACCATCGGACGTACGGTGTGCGCTTGTCGAGGCATGAATCTGCTTACCAAAGCTGACCAAGGGGCATTTGTGAATCTGTGGGGCGTTGCTGCTTGTGGCAGTTGTAGCACGGTAAAGGGGTGAGGATGGTGAGGTAAAGTGGAGTGATGCAGACACAAAGACCATCGGACGTACATGGTGAGCTTGGCGAGGCATGAGCTTACCAAAGCTGACCAAGGGGCATTTGTGAATTTGTGAGTGCAGACACAAAGACCATCGGACGTACGTTGTGCGCTTGTCGAGGCATGAATCTGCTTACCAAAGCTGACCAAGGGGCATTTGTGAATCTGCGTGGCGTTGCTGCTGGTGGCAGTTGTAGAGCAGTGTTTGATTACCTGACATGCAGTTGAGTGATGCAGCCACAAAGACCATCGGACGTGCAGTATAACTGGCGAGGCATGAATCTGCTTACCAAAGCTGACCAAGGGACATGATTTGTGAATCTGACGTTGCTGCTTGTGGCAGTTGTAGAGCAGTGATTGATTACCTGACATGCAGTTGAGTGATGCAGCCACAAAGACCATCGGACGTACACCGTACGATTGGCGAGGTGTTAATCTGCTTACCAAAGCTGACCAAAGGGCATGATTTGGGAATCTGCAGGGCTTTCTGCTTGTGTAGACCAGTGTTGGATAATCTGACATCGTGGAGAAATGCAGGCACAAAGGCCATTGCATGTGCACTGTACAACTGGCGTAGCATGAATTTGCTTACCAAAGCTGACCAAGGGACATGATTTGTGAATCTGTAAACTTTGCTGCTTGTGGCAGTTGTAGGGCGGCATAGACGGGCCCGGGATGAGGTGGAGTGATGCAGCCACAAAGACCATCGGACGTGCACTGTACAACTGGCGAGGCATGAATCTGCTTACCAAAGCTGACCAAGGGACATGATTTGTGAATCTGACGTTGCTGCTTGTGGCAGTTGCAGCGCTGTTTTGGAGGGCCCGGCATGATTTTGAGTGATGCAGCCACAAAGACCCTCGGACGTACACTGACGATTGGCGAGGCATTATTCTGCTTACCAAAGCTGACCAAAGGGCATGATTTGGGAATCTGCAGGGCTTTCTGCTTGTGTAGACCAGTGTTGGATAATCTGACATCGTGGAGTAATGCAGGCACAAAGGCCATCGGATGTGCACTGTACTACTGGCGTGGCATGAATTTGCTTACCAAAGCTGACGAAGGGACATGATTTGTGAATCTGTAAACTTTGCTGCTTGTGGCAGTTGTAGGGCGGCATAGACGGGCCCGGCATGAGGTGGAGTGATGCAGGCACAAAGACCATCGGACGTGCACTGTACAGCTGGCGAGGCATGAATCTGCTTAACACAGCTGACCAAGGGACATGATTTGTGAATCTGTGGGACGTTGCTGCTTGTGGCAGTTGTAGCGCGGTACAGGAGGGCTGGCATGAGGTGGAGTGATGCAGCCACAAACGTGCACCGTACGACTGGCGAGGCGGCTTGTTGCAGTTGTAGCGCAGCAAAGGAGGGTGAGGTAAAGTGGAGCGATGCAGCCACAAAGTCCATCGGACGTACACTGTACGACTGGCGAGGCGTGAAAAAAAATTGCTTGCGAAAGCTGACCAAGGGGCATTTGTGAATCTGTGGAGCTTTGCTGCTTGGGGCAGTTGTAGCGCGGCACAGCAGGGTGAGGTAAAGTGGACTGATGCAGACACAAAGACCATCGGACGTACAATGTACGACTGGCGAGGCATGAATCTGCTTACCAAAGCTGACCAAGGGATATTATTTGTGAATCTGTGAACTTTGCTGCTTGTGGCAGTTGTCGAGCAGTTGAGTGATGCATCCAGAAAGACCATCGGACGTACACTGTACGATTGGCGAGGTGTTAATCTGCTTACCAAAGCTGACCAAAGGGCATGATTTGGGAATCTGCTTAGCATTTCTGCTTGTGTAGAGCAGTGTTGGATAATCTGACATCGTTGAGTATTGCAGGCACAAAGGCCATCGGATGTGCACTGTACAACTGGCGTGGCATGAATTTGCTTACCAAAGCTGACCAAGGGACATGATTTGTGAATCTGTAAACTTTGCTGCTCGTGGCAGTTGCAGGGTGGCATAGACGGGCCCGGCATGAGGTGGAGTGATGCAGCCACAAAGACCATCGGACGTACACTGTACGATTGGCGAGGTGTTAATCTGCTTACCAAAGCTGACCAAAGGGCATGATTTGGGAATCTTCTTGGCATTTCTGCTTGTGTAGAGCAGTGTTGGAAAATCTGACATCGTTGAGTATTGCAGGCACAAAGGCCATCGGATGTTCACTGTACAACTGGCGTGGCATGAATTTGCTTACCAAAGCTGACCAAGGGACATGAATTGTGAATCTGTAAACTTTGCTGCCCGTGGCAGTTGTAGGGCGGCATAGACGGGCCCGGCATGAGGTGGAGTGATGCAGCCACAAAGACCATCGGACGTACACTGTACGATTGGCGAGGTGTTAATCTGCTTACCAAAGCTGACCAAAGGGCATGATTTGGGAATCTGCTTGGCATTTCTGCTTGTGTAGAGCAGTGTTGGGAAATCTGACATCGTTGAGTATTGCAGGCACAAAGGCCATCGGATGTTCACTGTACAACTGGCGTGGCATGAATTTGCTTACCAAAGCTGACCAAGGGACATGATTTGTGAATCTGTAAACTTTGCTGCCTGTGGCAGTTGTAGGGCGGCATAGACGGGCCCGGCATGAGGTGGAGTGATGCAGGCACAAAGACCATCGGACGTGCACTGTACAACTGGCGAGGCATGAATCTGCTTACCAAAGCTGACCAAGGGACATGATTGGTGAATCTTCGCCCCTTCTTGCGGCAATTGTAGCGCAGTATAAGAGGCCTCTGCATGAGGTGGAGTGATGCAGCCACAAAGATCATTGGCACTAAGACCTGCAGGCCATGAAGACGTCCCTGCGGCTTTCAGAGTACGAGGCTTGTGAGACGGGCTCGTCTCCAGGGTTGCAGAATGAACTGGGCCCCAAGAGGCTTTGGTTTTGTTTGGTTCTGTTCGACACCCGCAAAGAAGGATACCCTTTTACCAAACATCGAAGTGTACCAGCCCCCGTTTCCAAAAGGAAGGTCGTCTTCCAAAGGGGTTTGGGTATGTGCACATCTATGTTGGTTGGTGGGAGGGTACCAGCACCAAAACATGACACGCCCAGTGCTCATGAACGTGGACAACTGTTGGAAATGGCTGTGACTTTGCTGTGAGTGGCAAATCTTCTCAAAGTGACAAAGTCAAGTAGTCACAGGTCAGGGAATCCCCCTTTGACTCAACAAGGTCGTCCTCACCATGCGGACCGGCCCACCATGTGTTTTCCTGATTTGGAGTAGAGTCTCTAAGTTGAGTCGAGAAAGATCCAAAGGCAGGGGAAGTCATCCTTGAAGAAGTTCCGCGAGTGGGCACTCCCGGTGCGGCACCTATCTCGGTTTGGTTGCAGTGAGGAACCTGAGAGTCGCGATATGTTACATCACTTTCGCAGGAAGGTGCATCCTGTCCAAACGTAAGACATGAGGGCCAGTCAGTTTTTCTATGTGCACCACGAGCCCGTGTGTTTGACCAGGCCATCCAGTCCAAAAAAAAACAGCGACACTTGACTTGCCAGAGCACTTAGGGATCTTGAATGGCTGGATCAGTTGGTGGTTGAAAACATGGGCCATCGGAGTTGACTTCAAGCCTCAGCCATAGAACCACCTCAGGCTCGCAAATCAATCCATGACGCACCCCCCGAGACTCAAGAGCCAACCCCCCATCCATTCCAGGGTGTGTGAGCGAGAAAGCGTGAAGCAAACGCGTCGGCATTTGTGCGATGCGCGGTGTGAGTTATTGATGTGCAATCACTTAGCTTCTTTTTTTTTGTTCGCATCACTTTGACCCGCGGCAAAATTTCGAGTGTTTCCTCCGAGTGTCCCACATTTCCCTCTTGGGTGGCTTTTGACATACTTGTTGGGCCGAAATAATAACTTCCTGTTGCATCGGCGATGTTTAAGGGAAATTATAGGGAGCTCTGTTCCTCTCCTCGCGTTTTCTGTCAAGCATCACATGATCGAGATCATCCCGAGTGGATGCCAGCTGATAGCGTGTGGGCAGACTGGAAGCGCCAAGCTATGGATTGGCTGGCTCTGTCTCAACTGAGCTACGGTTGATCCCCCTAACATTACACGTGGAACACGGGAAACCACATGATTTACCCCAGTTTACCAAGATTTTCTGGTTGGATGTGTTCACCACCCAGCTATTGCCAAGCTCGCTCCATTCCCTGGTTTTGTTTTGCCTCCCATCGTGGTGGCTTCAATGGAACCCACCGCTACGCGGGGAAAATCTCCATTCTTCTCAGGACTCCTTCTTGCCAAACAACTATGTATTGAAGGGAAAATCCGTAAGCCTCCCGCCTCTCAGGATATCTTGGACACGCAGACCATCTATTCGTTAATCGCCCGGCGCTGAGCCAAAGGGCGTTTGGCGAGCGCCATGAGAGAGGTCCTTGGAAGGGTCAGACTAGTTGAACATCGATGGACTCCGCTCGCTTGGCTCTCATTATTTTCCTGTGCAATTCATCTAGTTTTCAAAAGGGATACCTAAAACCATACAACTCTCACCGGGAGTTACTGCCAGGCTTCCGCCTGCCAGAAGCCAGAAGTGGCCCCTTGCGATTTGAGATATGTTTGCCAGGGTATTGGAAGTGTTGCGGCCAGATGGGCATGCCTGAGGGTTCAATGCATGTCCTGGGACTCCATGAGGTTCATGGGAGTGCCCCGGCTCCGCGATTTTCCACTCACACCGATGACTGGGTTGATCTGAATGGGACAGGTGAAAACCGATGGGCTGTCGGAAAGGCGCTCACCACCTACTACAACAAGTTCTTCATGCAGTGCTCCAAGGCGTTCATCAAGCTTGAGGCGCACATTGAGACCGCAAGACTTTTCTTTTAGGGAACCTCCCTGTCGACTTCCATTGTTGGATAGAGGGTAAGCCAGCCACACCGTCAAAATCAGGAAGGGCATGGCTCCATGATCGCAACTCATGGAAGCACCTTCTTCCCTGAACCAATAATGGAGTGGATGTTGGACCCTGGAGGCTTTTGAACGACAGCCTCTGAAGATGAGCCCTTCACCTCCACAATTGGAGGGAGGTACTCACGCAAATTGATTGTTTAGGGATGCAGTGTCGCCTGTGTTGTCAGATGCAGAAGGGCGCGCTCTTGTCATCCTGAATTCGGTATGCCTGGGAAGACCAATTTCTTCATTCTGCCAGGTTCCATGCAGGGAGGGAGTTTCATGAGCCCTCATTTTGCTTTTGGGTCTTGGGTTTCCTCAGCGCCGGCCGAATGACCTAGCCAGGGCCCAGCAGCGCCTTGCAAAAAGTGCCGGCGGCGAGGCCTCGGCAGATGTCTCGGACGAGATGCGGACGAAGTTCGCGGATCTGGCGCTGAGCATCTTCACGCGGAACGTGCCGCGG